AATTAATAAAAAATTAATTTTTCTAAAAAAAATCATGAATTTATAAAATAATTTTTCTTTACTCACGTAAGCCCCTGACATAAATATTGGTACCGATTAAATTTGTTTGATCATCACACTAAAAAATAAATAAATAATAATAAATAGTTTACTTTTGGGCAACTGTGGATTCCACGTAAAATACATATGGATTTTATATTATTTGTTTTGAAAAAAAATAATATAATTGCAACATTACAAAAAAACAATGTAGCTAGTTTTAATGGTAATTCTCGATTATTTTTATTAAAAATATGAAATAATAATAATTAATGAATTTTATTAAAAAAAAACCTTATTATTGTAATCCAACTTTGTATAGATTCTATTTTTGGAATTAATTCCTGACTGCCATTTTCAGTAATTGTATCGATCACTTTTGTTAATATAATCTGCATAAAAAAGTCCTTGTAATGATAATTTTTTTTTAGAAAATTTTGTTTCTGCCTTTCTCATTTTCGAATTTTTGATTATATTAATAAAATACTTGGAAAATTTCTAAAGGCAATTTAATTGCCCATATTTTTAGTAGTTGAAAAAGTCCAAGGTAAATTTGGAGTTTAAGTAAATTGTTTTCAAACCATATTTCCACTACAAACTTATCTTTTTTACGAGTATAACTAAAAGTAGATAGATGTGTAACCATTCCCAGCTTCACATAATTCATTGTTTCTATTTGAATTGAATGGATATGGTCTAAGTTCAATATTTAATAACAATAACTTCATCCAATTTAAATCCTCGCATTGGCAACAATATCCTGGACAAAATTCATTATCTTTGTAACCTTTTTACAATACACAATATATACTTTTACTATTTAGGAAAAATAATGTTTTCTGGTGCAAATTGGATGATAAAAAACAAATGTCACTTTTATTCACTTTTTGGATGAATTCTATAATATAAATCGAAGTCTATATAGTGCCAGTAGATAATAATTGGATTGAAATGATTATTATTAAAAAATAATTTATAATCTGCATATTAATATTAATATTCATATCATTAAATTTCGACAGACCACGAATTAAATGTGAATAATTGAATAATTATAATAGATATTAAGCACTTCTTTCGGAAGAATCACTAAACTTGCCCCTCACGATTTTTCTTTGTATTCGTTGTTCAATTTCATTGTAAATAAATTAACTGATTAATGTTACATTTGTTTGTGGCATTGGTAGATACTGGTAGTGGTTATTCTTCCTTTGTATAACCTTTATAATCATTATACATAATATTTTAATAAAAATAAAATCAATTCCCGAGAATACTTTTACCAGTATATATTTTTTATTTTTATTTCAAGTGAATAGCCGAATTTTTAGGCCAAAAGCCTTTTAATGTCTAAATAGTAATAATAGTAGATCATCAAAACAATGCAAGTTCGGGTATACTGCGCCATTGGAATCATTGGAAATTAATCGATTGTGAACATTTTAGGAACCAAAATAATAAAAATAATAAGTAATAAATGTTAGAGGAATCAACACCAATATTAATATTAATATAGTGCATATATTTGCGTATATATGTGAACTATTTTTATAATTAAACAATTTGATTTTGAACTTTAACCTTGTCTAAAAGTCCAATTAAGCAGAGAGTAACAAGCAATGAATAATAAATGATCGATAATTAACGACGAATTAATTGTTTTAATCCAGAATGTAAGTGTAGGTAGGACGTTTGTTGGATATTTATGACACAAATATTGGTTTTCTTCTCTATTATTGGAATGTTTGGTACTTTGAAATCAATAATAATAATATTTTGTAGTGACCCTTGGAGACTCGACTCTTTTTTCTATAAATATAATTATTAATTAATCAATCAACAAAAACAGATGTAAATATTTATTTTTTAATAAATGTGGTGTGCAATGTAAATCGTTCAGAACGAGTAATTTTCGCTAATTGCAATTATTTATTTGTACATGTAAGGATCACAAATGCGCGAAATTAATTAAGTTTTCCACATAAAGTTTTCTAGAAATGTGAATTTTTTAGTATATAAATAATGATGAATTCCAAAGACGTTTTTTTTTTAACAAAAACAATAATATTCAGTTTTCATTCCCTCATCCCCTTCTCCTCACTCTCTCCCTATATATATATTTTTTTTACATTCATTAACACTAACCCAACATTCTCCTTTCCCTTCATAACAATTCATTTCCTTTCTTATCTTTTTCTTTAATAATAATATAAAATATAAAAATTTATATAAATAGATAAAATGGTATTAAAAAACATTTTCTTAACTTCAACATTTTTAGTTGCAAATTTATTTTTCGCAAATGCTCAATTGACTGGTAAATGGCCACCAGTTGACGTTCCTCCACCATTCGAAGACGAATGGAAAGGTTTGGTTGACTTTACTAAAATTCCAGCTGCACCAATCTCCAAACAACTTGGTGATTGTCCTAAAGATGGTACTGATCCTTTCTGCGCATGGACTTGTACCAGATGTGTCAAACCGGATGATGTTAGCTTTTGCCCTAAACTCAAAGGTAATTAATTGTTTGATTCATTCGATTAATTAATGAATTACGTATATGTGTGTGTGTGTGTGTTAATTGTATTTTTTAAATATCTATTGTAATTCACAGATTGGGGACTCACTTTCGATGACGGGCCTACGTGAGTAAAGAAAAATTATTTTATAAATTCATGATTTTTTTTAGAAAAATTAATTTTTTATTAATTATTTATATTTTCCCTTCTTATTGTTATTAGTGAACAAACCGGGAAATTACTTGATTTCTTGGACACAACACCCAACACAAAAGTAACTTTCTTTGCTGTCGGTTCTCGTATTATAGCCCATCCCGAGTTAGTGAAAAGAGCTATCACCTCTAGTACGTTGTTGATTTTTTAATTTAATTTTTTTAACCTTGTTCTTTTTACGCAAATTAATAATAATTATTATTATAATAAATTATTAGATCATCAAGTAGGAGTTCACACTTGGTCACACACACCTTTAACAACTCAAACCAATGAACAAATTGTTGCCGAAATCAAATGGACCGAACGAGCAATTCAAGCAGCTGGCGGTGTCACACCAAATACCCTTCGTCCACCACAAGGTGACTATGATGATCGTGTGAGAGCAATTGCCACAGCTTTAGGCTATAAAATTGTTTTATGGGATTTGGATTCATTCGACTGGAAAATAAAGAGCGAACCAGCAAATAGAACTCCCAAAAATGTTTTAGATGATTT